AAAACCTCAATTAAACTTGGGCTCATTATGTGGCATTTCACCTTGGAAGCCTCTATAGTACCTCTGTCAGAAATAGCTGTTATATATGACAGATCGCACTTACTCTGTATCGAAGAGCCTCCATACAAACTTCAAGTTAGGTTTTGTCCAATAAGCTGGTTTCAGGACAAAATCGACCAAATCCATCATTTTTTTTCAGGACAAAATATGTTGGGGTTAAGGAGGACGGATGGCTTTTTGGATTTATCCAATAGAAGTTTGAAACGAAGGATATTATTTTGACCGTATGTGGCTCAGCACAAAAATGGTCAACTATTTTTGATTTGATTTTGTATGGCCGTGTGGTCAGGCGCGAGGAGCGAGGTCGCAGCAAACCCGCGCGGTATTTGCGGAGAGGCCCAGCGACAACCTCAACAGCGAACGGATCCATTGTACTGACTGGAAATTGTTTCCTATTGCGGGGTCTAGTGACGCCACACCGGCTCGAGTTGATCCAGTTTTGTGCCGACCCGACAATTTCCATAAAAATGTCTATCGTCTGAAATGCCGACCCCTTTTGGAATGGTTCCCGTCTCTCAGAAATACATATTTGTCTTGAAATAGAAAGGTATGGGCGATTTGTGCCACATATCGTCAAATACGAGCTACTATGAAGCTTTTCTACCAAATACTATCAGGATTATATTAACTGCATTAACTCTTGTCAGGGTTTGCATGCCAGTAGTGACATTTGAGCAACATATTCGTATAGTGATACTCTGCATATTATAGCAATGAAAACCGAGGCGGAACTCACAACTTGGAAACGTGCCTTATTTTTCTTAGCGAATAAAGCATTACTTTGGTAGAAATGGACACACTGTTACAATTCTTCTTACCATTATCATTGTGGGGAATGAACAAAATGCAACTATTCTTGTCCATGACTGAGTTTCGTCAATAGCATGTAAAGTCCGACAGTTGGCAGTATCATACAAGCAACAGCGAAAAGGACTACCGCCAACTCGTGCACACCTTCACCCACTCTATGGAGATTCCAACTGATTGAAGACGGCCTCATTTCCTTCTCCACAATACGTTTAGCGTGTTAAACATCCGTCTTGGTCACCTTGGAAGGATCAGTTTACCGCCACACCCCTCAACTTCTTCAGTTGAGGATTGTTTTCCAATTTCTGAAGCAGCGCCTTATTACTCGTCATCGACTGGAATACCGTTTTGACCTCCGGATGTGTCATGATTGAGACCTTTTCACCGAGGTGGTTGCTGACTTTTTTTTAGACGGCTTGCTGAAGAGCCCCATAACACTGCGAAAAACTAAATTATGTCGCGGTCTTCCTCCTTAGTGTCGGGGTCGTGTATGTAGCAGGCCGACGTAGGAACGAGAACTAGAGCGATAATTCCAAATGTAACTTGATATATTCTGAGTACTTCTCTCTTCAGAAGAAAAAAAACACGACTGAGCCTCTTCCCTACGGTCTCCTCACGACCTAGAAGCTCCTTACCTATCCACAAATTTTTACCACGCGGCGGTCCACAACGAGGTACCTCCACATTCCCTTCTAGACATGGAACGCTGACGTCTGCTCATCTTGCTCTTGCTTGTAGGATGTAGCTCATGGAGTCTGTAGTGAGCAGACCTTCTGGATGTAGTCTGCGAAAATAGCGAGACCTCCATCTAGCTGTAGACCGCGACAATTACCCGATCTTTCTTCGATATTTGCACTGGTTGAGTCCTCACTGGGTTCAGTTGTCGCCATATCCCCTTCGAGGGAGCTAGCGCCAGCGTTGCGAAGTCCCATGTTGCACGCCATGAGACCGAGAACTAGAAGCAATTGCAAACAGTAGCTCAACCGCACGAAGTAGGTTTTTTGAAATTCGGCGAAGCCTTTAGATGTTGAATGCAGGCGTCAGCGGTTGAATTGAAACTGCAGTACTTCCCCGACGACGTTATGGTCCTTGTCGATTATGGGACGATGGAACGGCGATTTAAGAGCATAAATATCACCCTTTTTATTATTATTGAGAACACCAGTTAGTTAATTATGGGCTGATTAGGCTGCCTATAAAGCGGTACAAAGGATACTCACGGAACTCCGCAGTGCCCAACAATGCGGCGCATGTAGTTTGTCGCTTTTTCAGAACTTGAGTATGTTCGCGATGGTGCACACGCGTCAAGTTAAACCGCGAGAATGAGTAGCGGCACTGCAGTTGGTTACCTTAATCTAACGAGTAGTGATGTGTGTTTGTACTAACTAATATCATTACGATGCATTATACTTGACTTTAGTACTGGCCGATTATCTTGTATAGTGGCCACTTGATGGACTGTATTTCTACCAGTCACAGCTCCAACATATCCACCTCGAAGTCGTGCGTAACGGTCGATACAACTTGATACGGAGCGTACAACAGTAAAAATCGGCTACTATCAGAATAGTGTTCAAATATCAACATCGTACAAGCTGCCTTTATAAGATAGAAACGACAAATAATACGCGGTGCCTGTCAAAGAAGTGGCCTTTTTGAACCAAATCAATAAAGGACCTTTGACACTGAATTATGGCTATCACTGCTTCTTGAGGGGCCCCATCTTTTGTGACGCTACACAGCAAGAAAAATAAAGAGTATATATAATCTTCTTGTTTGAATACGAGCTTGTCTTAACTCTTGCCCGCGGAGGGTGTGGAGTACATGGTTTGCGATACCAAGGACAAGCACAGGCGATGACTTTTTTTGAGAAAAAGAAATTCCCCGTTGCAACAGTCCAGCAGAAGACAAGCAATCGTTTAATTACATAGATTCTATGTCATGTGGACGATACTGAAAAGGAAAATTGGGCGTGGAAGGGAATGGCCTATATTTAGCTAAAGTAGGATATTTTCAACCTTAGTACCAATGGTCACTGACGTATCTACGTCTACAAATAGAGGTATAGATGGTTGTGAAGCACATATATAACATTTTACAGTGTGCAAGCCAAGCGCCACACATTTTGTTCTTTCAAGAATCCGCCGCGAGAAGCAAAATGTCCGGTTTTAGACTACGCTGGTCTGAACTAACGAAAGAGGGGTGGCATTCGAGACTGCCAACGGGCTTCCCAAACAACTACACGTACCTCAAGCCTGGAAAGACCAAGAAGGACGTGCGAGGTGTGGATTATTTCGTGGGCGAAGAGGAACTGATGAAATATTTGGACCGGGTTGATTTAGGTGGGTTCAAGTCACACCGCAATGAATTACAGCTTATTGACGTTTGAGCAAATACCAGAAGCGGCGAAGGACTCTCTCTCAGATGTTAGCAGTGCCGCAGTAATCAAAGACGTCCCGAATCCTCCAAACGACGTCCACCGTACGTTATCTTGTATAATACATTCTACTGCCGCTCTATTCCTGTATCTCTCATTTATTCTGTATGTATCCGAAACAGCGTGCACATCAACACCAGAAGAAACTCAACTCCCTGATTGTTAATCTACGGTCGATAGGGAAGAAGAACGAACGGCTGCTACTAGTGGGCTTTCAATATCGATTGACACCAACTTGGACAGTACGCCTTGTATCATATAGGATATCCGGCCTTTTACTTTGTATCTAATATATTTTATATGTTCCTGAACAGACAACGACGAAGCCTCTAACGAAGAGTCTGTGTCTCCTACTCTGCGGTATGAATCTCCTCACGTGACCCACCGAGAGTCACAATCGCCAGTTGATTCTTCAGGTTCGGACTTTCCCCGTCACCCCACCGCAACCTAAGAGAAAGAATTTGACGCCGAAGAAAGTGAAATTTGTGGGGAAGTAGACGGCAGCAGAAACGAAGTACCGAGAAATGAGGATGTTGAATTTCGTCGTGCGAGAACTGCTGCGGATAAGTCAGGTTGGTTATATTGTATATACAAGATATTAATACCGAGTATTGATGCAATCCTGTATGTTTACTGTATATTTTACAGATGTGAATGTCTATCAAGATATGGGCAACCCCGATGACTTTACTGCAATGGTGTCTGATGCTGAGAACGTTAATGCTGCCTCTGGTGATGAAGAGTGCGTGGAGAAAGAAGACAATCCGCTCGACGAAGCGACGGCAACGAAGAGGACACATCTGAAGATGCAGAGTTCGACAAGGATTTCCGTCAAGCTGCTGGTGGTATTGCTGGCATTACCGGAGGTACCTTAAACGCTGCTGTCCTGAAGAACATGTCGCTGAATGGCTAGACGGATGCAGTATCATTCACGCCCTACCCATACTTAGACCAACCGTATGAGGCTCGCAGCAGTGATTCTATCAGTACCGAGTTTCCAAATCTTTATAAAGGTGACTATAGACCGTCGGCTCGAGTACTCGAAGCAGCTTCAACAGTGGTGGGGAGTTTCTTCTATTTCGTTCAACCACATTTGTGGAACAATATTGCTGAGGCGTCCAATGATTATTTCATGGAGAAGATCGACGAACGAGTGGAGGATGAGTTCCAGAAGCAGCTAGTCCGCGAAAGGGAACAACCGCGGTATCGAAAGTGTACACGGGAGGAGATAAAAAAACTCTCTTTTGGGAACCCCGGACATATCAGCTCGAGAGCTATGCATTTTATCGGTCTTTTAATTGCTCGAACGATAGCTTCTAACAAGGAGAGGTTAGCGCATCACTGGAGAACTACAGACGAAGGTGCAATTCCGCGCGGTCGATTCGGACTCTACATGACAAGAGACCGCTTCATGCACATCTCGCGAAACCTGCACTTCAGTAACAACGCTGATCATCGGGCCGTAAGTGACCGGGCATGGAAACTCCGTCCTGTGATAGATGCACTCCAAGAACGTTTCAAATCCGGATACTGGCCGCCACCCGTAATGGCCTTTGATGAGGCAATGCTACCGTTGAGGGTATACAAGAAAGACAAACCCCACAAGTGGGGAACTAAGCTATTCATGCTGTGCTGCTCTTCTTCAGCTTACTGCATCCGGTGTGTCCGAAGTTATTTTCGCCAAGGGTTCTTATCCGGTATCATACAACTTCTTATTGTGTTATCTTGTATTATTCAGGTTCGAAGTTTACTGCGGGAAAACCCAAACCTGTGTGAACACTGCTGGGACTGACGCGAAGTCCGGACCAGCCGCTGTCGTTCGAAACCTGAAAGAGGTGTTTGGACGTTGTGGATCGAGTGAAAAGCGATTGATTGTTACAGATCGATTTTACACGTCCCCTACGCTGGCCATGCAGCTTCTGACCCTCGGGTTCTATACTATTGGTACTGTTAATGACCAACCGGGAGGAGTTTTGGAAGGAAATCGTGGAAAAAAAAGAGATCCTCTGATGTGCTGAGGGGTACGTACCCAGTTGCAGAGTCTACGGTAGTACCAGGTATCAAGGTTGTATGTTGGTGAATTAACCGCCCTATGTATCTGCTTAATACTGGGGGCAGAATTGAGTAGGACCGAGTAGTGCGGCGAGAGAAATCGGGAGAACGGACAGAAATTACATGTCCAAGAATCCT